GCTTTTACATCTAGGTATGAAGCGTGGACAATGTGGGAATAACATTCACAGAGGGCCCAACATCAGTATATTAGTAGTAGTTGTAGTAAATTAGGTCAAAGGATCTTATCATTCTGATACCATGAAATATTGTATGCAGAATTGCTTGTGTCATTCATTCACCAAAGATGTGTTTATATACAACATATCATATGCAACCCTAATTAGGAATAGGAAATATAACTTATACTAAATCCCTTAGAAATAGAATATATCCTTATCTCATTAATTATTCTGGTCAAGTCTTTTATATTTATGTATTTTCAAGTTTCTAGGTTTTGACTAAACCTTTTGTATACCACATTGCCTACTATATAAAGGCCTAAGTATTTCCTTTGTATTTCATTCAACTTTTTAATAAAAACCTTTCTTTTTAACTTGTTGAATCATTTGATCTTCAACTAACATCTTATCTTTTAAGTCGTCGGAGTGTGTCATATATTCGGGCTTAGAAGTTGGTAGTATCAGGAGACTTTCCGCACCTCTTGTGTCACTATTCGATCCACACCCCCTGATTGTTTGTGCTTTCTCGCTCATTCGATGCAAGGCTTATCCAATCCACCAACCTTAGAGTGATCCTTCCATTTAGGGCGTACCATGTGGTATCATAGCCACTCTGAGGTTCAGAATTCTTCACAACCAGCCATTCGTAACTCTTCATCTTCTAAGAGATCTAATGTGTCTTTTTGACTACTAAAGAGAAACTATGAAGAGTAACTAATCATTTTTAACTCTTCATATTCTAAGAGATCACCTGTGTTTGGGCTACTGATCAACCATGAAGAGGAGGCAGCGCGCAAAACACAAGAAGAAAAGTTGCCAGAATGGAGGTATAACAAACGCACAGCTGAGATAATAGTTGAATATGAGCGTGACCAAGAGAAGGAAGACAAGAAGTCAAGACCTGAGATATACAAATGGAAGAAACCACTCAGAAAAGAGGGTACAAAAATCTCCTTTGATTCTGGTTTAGTGGGATTTAGAATGAGCAGCACAAAGAAGGCAGTCCAAAAGCCACAATCAAAACCGGTTGTAGAGACTTCATCAACCAGAACTGAAGAGAAGAGAAATACTTTTTTTGAGAGATGATTGGAGAATTTCAAGGCTAAGATCCATCAAAGGATCACAAACCCACGTCCATCTTCAGCTTTAGAAGAAGATCAGGAGGCCAAAGATATCGAACCGGAGCTATCGACTGTTTATGTCCGAGCAGAATCTAAGGACAATCTCGGTCCAATCTTTGATGAGGAGGAAGAACCAGATGCTGTAAGTGTTCTCCTGGCTGTCCAAAAAGTGGCTGAAGATGTGGTGGATATAGGACCAGAAGCTGATCTTGAAAAATATCTCACACCCACTTATGTTTCATGTGATATTCTCGGTTCTTTATCAAGTGATAAACTAGTTCAGCCATTCGTTTACAAGGAATACGACCCAAGTGAGCTACTGAGCCCTGTAGAGGATCTACAACAATTAATCTTTGAGCCTGGAGTAGGGGCATGTGTGCACAAGAAAAGTAGAAACACCTTGGCTGAGCTAAACCATGTCGGTTCATTCATCCTAGATGGTTCGGATTTGAGGACAAATCCTTTTAAAGGAGAAGGGGATGATGCGACCCAAATCAGCAGCTATGTCTCAACGAGGAGATTAAGGTACGAACCAGCTAAGCAACTGATAATAGCTTGGCTTAATGTGCATTTTATGGGCCTTATCGGTTTTATCCATGAAGTTCTAGACAGAGAGAAGCTAATGGGCTTGATGCAGAACGTGAATGCCTTTTGCTCAATAAGATATCAGTGTTTGGATTTGTCCAAGAAAGATCCACCAAGAAAATATAAGCCATGGTCGTATAATATATCAATCTGACGGCAATTCCGAGATCTCAAACCATGCAAAAGAACACGACCAGCCTAAGAGTCATTCAACAAAAACCGTTCAACTTTTTATCAAGTCAAGGACACCTATTATTTTGGTCAAGTCTTTTATATTTATTTATTTTCAAGTTTCTAGGTTTTGACTAAACCTTTTGTATACCACATTGCCTAATATATAAATGCCTAAGTATTTCCTTTTTATTTCATTCAACTTTTTAAGAAAAACCTTTCTTTTTAACTTGTTGAATCATTTGTACTTCGACGGACATCATATCTTTTGAGTCATCGGAGTGTGTCATATCTTCGGGCTTAGAAGTTGGTAGTGTCAAGAGACTTTCCGCATCTCTTGTGTCACCATTCGATCCACAGCCCTTGATCGTTTGTGCTTTCTTCGCTCATTTGGTGCAAGGCTTATCCAATCCACCAACCTTAGAGTGATCCTTCAATTTAGGGCATATCATCGGGTAAGCCGGTTGGGTCTTAGGGTCCTACCATTAAGCTGATGGCTTGGGCAGTCCATAGGCACGATCCATGGGCTATAGGAAGGGCCCAGGCCCATGTCTTATCTGCCAGAGGGCAGTTATAGGCGGATGGATGCAAGTGGCAAAGGGTTTGGGCGAAGAGATGCGATGGGACTAAGAGGTACCCATACGTCCACCAAATGGTGTCTTTTCGGTCTAGGCAGTTGCCCATGCCTTCTCCTATATATAGAGGACCCTGGGCACGAAAGTAATCATCATTATTCATAAGAAAACACAGAGAGAAAGGCGAGAGAGAAAAAGAGAGAAAGTGAGAGAAATCAATCCTTAAAGGTAAATAATGTTCTTTTGGTGAATCTGGCAAGGATGTTTGTTTGTGACAAGGAAAGGCCGACCAGTATGAGCACTATAGGCAAGGATAAAGACTTCGAGAAGGGATCTAAGACTACAGAAACAAATGTTCAAGGTAATGGATGTAGTCGTGAAACCATCGCCCACAACCATCGATCGGTTGATCGGATTTTTGGGCCGGTTTTGCATTGATTGCATCCAATCTCTTCCTATTCTATTTTAATTACTTTCTCTTCATCTTCCTCTGTATTTGCGTGAGGAACAATTTGTTTTGGTGTCGGAATTGACTTGGTAAAGAGCCAAGATCATGTCCGAGTGAAACCAACCATGGTTCATGGTTAATGGCTGGATGGACGGATGGTCTGTTTGGTCATGGCTATGGATCGGATTGCCTTTTTTATCAAAGGTGAAATCCATGTGTTTTGGGCTTGATATTGGATATTGAGCCAAGGTCTTGGGCCGGCCCAATTAGTATGGATCAAGGCCTAGTGGGCAGGTTTATGTGGATGGCCCAGTCGACCATGGTGTGGATCTGTTTGGTTTATCCGATGTTTTTTTCTAACCATGGACAATCCGGCTATGGTGTAAGTTGATAGGGTTGTTCTTAGATGTGATCTAAGGATTCCAGACCTTTGAGAATGGGTCGGAATCATGTTGGTATAGACCGGATCATGTTTCGCTTAATTCAATCATATAGGGAGATGGTGGGATGCAATGTATCGGCCAGCCCATATGGAGCGAGATGAGAAATCCTTGTTCGATTTGATCACGGCCTGATCCACTAGAATGTGATCTATCGATGGATCTGAATGGTCATTACCATGTACCAATGGTGAGGAGTCGTGACCATTCATCAAGGGTTATCTATGACAAATAACGAGTGATCGGAAACTGTCTAGGATAAACTGATTGGTCGCATGATCTATAAGGACTATTGATGGCTAATAATGGCTATTCTATTAACCATAATCAGGATTGGAATTATGGTATTAGGAATACCTGATATAAACATTGGTGTTGGTACACAAGGCTAAATGATTGGCTAAGAGCCACAAAGAAGAGTATGTATGATTAGTGCTATGAGTCGTTGACCATAAGTACATGTGCTTCTTTAAAGAAGGCCGTGTCGGATCTGATCATATTTGAGTATGGATGTTCTGAACCATAGATGATGGATCAAGGAGTAGGTTCTAACTTGATAAGAGATGCATTGGTTTGGAAGACAAGGCTGATCGAACTTGTTGGAAAGTTGTTCCATGGCCGATCAAGCAAGAGTGAAGACTCATCAGTTCTGAATCATGTGAGGTAGTTGGATGATTGACTTAGGATCTGATGGGCGTTGTTAGTCCAGGGGATGGACTTGATGTAGTAAGCCGTTCAGGCAAAAGGATGATGTATGAGCCAAGAAGGGATATATGCATATCATTAACCGTTTGAAAACTTCTCAAAGGTTACTTTGTCTATGGGGATGGTTGACTGAATGATTAAGTACCAAAGGGAGTTTTTTTGTGCAGGAACAAAGATAAGAACCGTGAAGAGACATAATGAGTTGAATAGCTCAATAGACAAGCAAGAGTAATTCTGATCAATGGAGGACCGATGAGCTAACAAGCTCCGTGGATGTGGCAAATATATGAGTTAGTAAATACATGGACAGATTAGAATGGTTTAGGGGAATGGAACCTCAGATTAGTATGAGTTGAACCGTGTCGAGGATTGATCAATAAGCTAGATGGTAATTAAGTGAACTAGCCATAATTTAGACACTTAGACCGGACGAGTATTAGATTGGATTTATTCCATGGTTAGTTAGAAAATATTCTGCTGCGTATGAGTTGAAATGATCAAAGCTATGAACGACTAAAGTAAGCAAAGTTTTAAATAAAGGGCGAAAAATTCAGAGGTTCGGTCAGGAAATGGACCGAGCGACGTGGTGCTTCGACTGCGGCCTAGCGGCCGGGTCGGAGTGTTACATCACTAATCTTGATTCAACATCTATCTTCGAAACTTCCCAACAATATATATATATATATATATATATATATATATATATATATGGAGCATCATGGATTTGTGTGCTGAGGGGAAAACTGTGTAGTGAATTTCTATATGTGAAGTTGTTCATCATAATTACATACGGCAAATAATTATATTAATAGAAAAAAATCCACTTCATATTATAGTTTTTCGTTGATCAATCAAACAGGATTCAAATAATGACAACTGGTAGAGCAAAGATAGTTTATAAATTTTTAGAAAGGAGTTTTATTGATCATAGCACAATTTCCAGATATCTGGAAAGAAAATGATGGAATGAAAGAGGTACAAGAGACTTCGATAAAGAAGCGAAACAACAAAATACAAAAATAGAAAAGGAAAAAAAAGTTAGCTAGAGTGCACAACTCAAACAATGCACTATTATTAATGTCTAAATAAGAATCACCACTTAAAGTTTGTTTTGGTTTTCGACATCCTTGTTGTTCTGATCTTTCAAACCAGTAATATTGTGGTTCTTGACCTTGGTCACTTGAATCTGAGTCTCGGGAACATCGGGAATAGTAGGCGGTAGAAGAACCGCTGTATACGAAACTGGACTGGGCATAACAGTGGTCAGCTTTGTCATGTCAATGGCATGGTCAGACATCGTTTTGGATTTCTCTGTCTCTTCAGCCACCGGAGTTTTGTAGTACTTGAAGATTATGTAGAGAATAATTTGAACAGCTCCTAAGAACGCGCCCAACACATTTGGAAGCTTCAATAGTTTGAAATTAGATGTAAGGACATAAATATTCATTTATTGCCGACATACAGTGTTGAACAAAGAAAAATTTACCGACATCACAACAGAACAAATTACACTTCGTGTTTCTAGTATTATACTGTAAATTTAGTGGGTCCAATTATTTATATAATGCTCTAATCATATGCGTACGGTTTACAATCATATATTCGTCGACACCGCATTCATATTATACTAAACAGCCTTTGCATATGTAGTTTGAATAAGCTAAAAGGAACAAAGGTAAACTACTCATTTTACTTTATTACGAACCACCCATAATAATCTAATCATATAATGTTGTGCTGTCTTTTTTAATATGCTCATAGTTGAGCTAAAGCGAATTGTGAAGTCATTTAGGTCAGTGTTGTTCAATGTTGAAATCTAAAATATTAAAACTTAAGTACAAATTTGAAATACCCCTTAATTTTATTCAGTAATTACATTTTATGCCATTAGATTTATTTGTTATTTATTGAAATTTAAATGTTTTAATAAAACCAATATTCCATCTACCTATTTATAAGGAACTAATCTTTATTAGAAATTTAATTATGAGAATTTTTTATAACGCAATTCTCATCGCCAGCCTTTTAATAATAAAAAAATTTATTGCAACTAACCAAATAAGTTAAGCTATTAAAACTAAAATTAATGTTCATTACTAAATTCAAAAAAAAAATATATATATATATATATATATATATATATATTCCTTACATTTATAAATATGTATAATAAATATGTAGAAATTTATAATAAAAATATCTAGCTATTTATTTGTTATTAAAAACTAAAAAATATATTCAACATAAATAATAGATTATTATAATAAAAGAAATAATATATAAACAAACAATAAATGATAATTCACCTTCAATGTTATATATATATACATTTAAATTTTAACCCATAAGATATATATATATATATGTATATATACAACCAAAACAATGATAATTTAAAACAATTAATAAAATTGATGCATATAGACAATAAAACTATATTAAATATTTTAAGCATAAAAATGTATACAATCAATCATGTATGAATTTTTTTAACAATATAATTCTTTTTAAAGCACAGACGTGCGGGTCAAAATCTAGTCAATTTTATTCTCACTTACCAAAGTAGCTATCATAATTAGCCTTATGGGGAGTATGCTCCAGCATTCAATCTGAGGTTTGGAACGGATTACAAGGATTTAATCACTATATTTAAAGAGTCTCATGTTTGGCCAAGCTCGCTATAGAATTGGAGAGGATGGCTACACTACAAATTTGTTATTCGGATTTCAGGATCACTCATATTCCACGAGTGTAAAATCAGATTTCTGATTCTTTAACTATGACTATGAAGTCTTTCCTAGAAAACAAATCTAATGGCGAACTAAGCTCCTCGGAAACGGGACCAAACTTGACAGGGCTTCGTTTCAGGGTTTTATAATTCATAATCCACTATATCAAATTACCCTATGAAACTCGATCGATTGTCAAGTGTGATTGTCGATCGATGTCCGTGTTTCTACTCATCTCGCATGCTGTTGCTGAATGGTGTCTATTGCATGTCTCATCTTGTTCATGCGTGTAGTCAATCATGTAATCCTTCTGTCTATAGAAAAGTAGACATCATCTAGCCTATTGCAATAATCATCCAAAGACATCTCCTAGCCTATGTAGACTACAGTCATCATATCATCAATGGTTTCTATGATGTATGTGTCTAGTGGTGGCACTACTCTTGTGAATCTACTTGCATCTTCTGATAAACTGATAAAGCTGTACTCATGCATTGTAGCTCTTTCCAAAACTACTTTGATGTCCTCCTTTGACAAATTGACGATCCTGCCATCTAGATCTCTGGCTTTGTCATTCTCATCTTTGTAGATGCCATACTCATATTTTCTTTTTCAATGGAAAAGTCTTTGTCCATTCTCATCAAAAGCTCGGTATCCAAATTCATTGTGACCGTCGATCGGTGCAGGAAGTATCATGTCGATCGATGCTGGAGCATTGTAGGTACTTGATCTATTGTGCTCAGCCTCTTTGTCCTCTGGATAGTTAGCATCAATCGATGCATGGTAGTTGCTCTCGATCGATGTTTGCATGTCTGTCCGGCTGTTGTATGGCTGGCAGGAGAGAATGCATGATCCATTGATCATTGCAAGAATATCTGCTACATCTTCTCTAAAGACATGTAGGACTTGTCTGTCCATAGCTCTTTCTTAACCTTCAGGATATCTCGGTATGCTGAACTCAGCTGGTTGTAGATAACCATGCTCATCAACATATGCTTTTGAATCTGGTGTTGGCTCTTCTTTCTGCGCAGTTTTGATTGATGGTTTAGGAGTATCGTTGATCGTTGGTTTCTATCGTATTTCCTCCATACTTCTGAGATAGTTGAGTACTTCCTGCGTATAACGACAGCGGTCATGATCTTCCATATAGATCTCGTCTATGTGCGGATAAACTGGTTGGTGCATTAGCTCCAATTAGGCGTCCATTGATGCTAAATGTTTTTCATCGATCGATGTAGGATTCTGAGTTTCATGGGAAACTAGAAAAAAAGCAGCGTGCTCCAAAAAAAGACCACGGTACTTAATGAGTTCTCCCTCGCAGTAGTCCTCATCATACTCATTGTAAGACTGAAGTTGATATGGATGTTGAGTGTCAATCAATTTTGAAGGGTGGGTATCAATCGATTACTAAACTAATTGTCGATCGATTGGATCGGTTGGGTATTGATCAATTCTCCATCATCTGACTCCTTGTTTTGCTCGTAATCACAGAAGCATGTAGCTTCGAGACCTGGATCATTACCCAATTTGATAAGAGTAGATCTATTCTTAACCTTAACAAGATCATAATAGTTATTTTGATCAATCAAAGACAGATACAACCTGCTTGTTGTCATGTTGCAGACAGCTCCCACTATAGCCATGAAAGCTCTTCCAAGTAGTTGGGAAGAGTTCCAATCTATCTGGATATGCATCACATGGAAATCTACTAAAACTAAGGCATTCTGAATCTGCAGTGGAACGTCTTTCACTATACCTCTTTAATTCACCTTGAAGCAATCCAAAAAGGTGAAAGATCATCCAGTATCACAAAGGAGATTGGAATATTCGTGTTCAGCTTTTAAGTTCCAGTATCATAAAGGGGATTAGGATATTCGTACCCCTTGATGAAACATGGAATCACAAACTTCCCAGGATCACTTTTCTTCTTGAGATTGATTCTCTGCTTAAGCTTCTCTCTGAGGTGGTTGGAAATTATATCAATGTCTTCATCTATCTCATTGGTTTCCCTGAAAAACATCCACAATCTATGAGTATAATAAGCTTCATCAAATAGAGTATTTAGAGAAATTTTAAAAAACCTCTTTTGGCAAAGCCATCCATCTCTTTTTCATTTGCTTCTCTGCGGAGATGTTTGAAAATCTTTTGCTTCCTTCTGGAGTGTTTTCTTGTTGCCTTGTGAACCATCATGGGTTCTGAAGTGTATGTGTTATGCTCAGAAGTATTTGTACTCGGATTTCTAACCAGAAATCTTGCATTGATTCTTGGCAAGGGAATAGGTTTGTCTGCTAGGTTCCGTTGATTGATGATTCCGTCCTTATGTCAATCGATGTTGGAAGATTCACACGAAGGCACTAACTATGTAGGTTCTGTCGATTGATGCTAAGCACTGGTGTCGATCGACAAGAGTGAAAACTCCTAAAAGACATAGCACTTTCTACACGAAAATCTCCTTCTTGGAGCCTTTCTCTCTTCACCTCTTTCCAAAATCATCATCAATCAGTGCATTGACATGATACTTGTGTTCATTTCTTCCCTTTAACAATGGTCTCATGTTCCTAATGGCCTTACTTGTCTGGACTACCAGATTCTCCAACTTCTTCACATGGGTGTTGAGGTTCTCAAACTTAGTGTTTAGGTTGAGATACATAGCATATATTTTTCCATTGAAGGTTATAGTCATCTGCTGCTGTCCCTCAAGTACTCTCTCAACCATTGCTTCTAACTTGCTCTCTTGAGTCTCTAGAGGTTTTCTTTGGTAGTAAGAAGATCCATAGGTCATGTTGTCGTTGTTGTTGTGGGGCCTATGTTATTGTGAATCCTGGTTGTAATTACCCTCCTAACTATTGCCATAGGAGTTTCTGTTGTAGCCTTGATTCTCAAATCTTTGGAAATCGTTTCAACCAATGTAATTAACATCCTGTTCTTCACTTTCAGCTTATATAGTTTCTACTTCCTCTACAAAACTGATTTTCTTCTTTGAGTGGATTGTGAACACTATCCAGCGTTGCTTTAACTTCATCAATCTCCTTCATGCTGAGTGATGGAGCCGATTTCTTCCTTTCATAATATGTGTTCTTTGTGCTGTTGTTGGATGCCAGATTCTCAATAAGCCTTAGAGCCTCTTCTAGACTTTTGGTGCTGGAATTACCCTCACTAATTTTGTCTAGGGCCATCTGGTACTGCACATCAATACCTCTGAAGAAAGTGATAAGCAACTGCACTTCATTAAATCCATGGTGTGGACAGTCGCGCTGGTAGGATTTGAATATCGTCATGGAACTCTTGAAAGACTCTGTAGGCTCCTGTGTGAAAGTAGCAATTATGCTCCTCAAATCCTCAGCTCGCGCATTATCAAACAAATTGCGCAAGAAGACATTCTTGCTGTCAATACATGATGTAAAAGATCATGCTAGTAACTTCTTAAGACAATAAGAAGCTTCTCAAACAAGTGAGTAATTGAAGAGCTTGCAAAACAGATAGTCCTCATGGTCTCCATTGGATTTAGTAGTAGATACTAGATCTACAAACCTTTCAACATGATCCATAGTTAGACCCAATTTCGGGACCTAGTTAATTATGCCCAAGCTCATATAGGATTACGACAAGCTCGACATCGATCGGACTCTACGAGGCCGATATGGAACCTTGAAGATCGCGGGAGCAGTTTGAAAAGAAGAAGGCTATAAAAGGAAGCTATGATGGAGCATAGAGACGG